TGTGATTTTATCTTACCAGAGAAAGGTCCAGGGACCTGTTACTCCTCTGGCATCCTACATGGCGACTGCTCTCTGCCTACACCTCCCAGAATCCTCATCTCCTAGACCCACCTATCTTCTATCTTGCTGCCCTATTGGCCACAGTGTTTTATTCATCAACCAATAAGTTGATGAATTTACAGTAATACTTCCTCCCTGACTTCAATTTCCGTCTTCCTTGTAGCTGAGGCTCAATTCAAAGATGCCTGCTACAGCAGATCCAAACGCGTCCACATGTATGCTAGACATAGAGGTCTTTAACACGGAACTTCAGGAAGAAGAAATAGGTATGTATCTGATCCAATAGGAATCAAACTAACAGAGCAGAGAGAAGTTTCGCCGGGGTTTTACAGAGGAGCAAAGTCTCTGTCTGTAACAGGGCCTGTTAGCCTGTCAGAGTTGGGGCTCTGTACAAGTGGAAATGCCTGGAGGCTTCTGGCATATCAGTTACTCTGCTAGAGTATACAGTACTTGAGTATTTCTGGGCAAGAGAAATGAACAAGGAATCAATTAAAAGAACCTAAAGTATGTTTTTGTTTAGTTGGATTTTTAGGTTGTGATTCTTCTGTTTGTTTTTGTTGTGTGCATGCGTGTGTTCCTGTGTACTTGCTAGTCCACTATCTGGGCCGGGAGGGGGGGGAGTGCTTGTATGTGTACTTGCTAGTCTACTATCTGGTAATCTGCACTCTAGTGAGTTGCAGGAATTTTGGTAGAAATGTCCCAGAGTGAAGGAAAATCTAACAGCACAGCTTTCAATGTGCACAGCTAAGAAAGTTCCCTGTGGGGCTGGAGCCTATGGTTTCCAGATCTAGTGTGATTCAAAGGACAGATGGGGAGGGGAGGTGTAGTGGGAGGCTGAACCCCAACACTAGCAAATCCTCTGGCATTTCTGGTTTGTTGTAAATTATGGAAACAGAGAATCTTGAGTTTATGTTAAATTGTCTTCTGTATTTGAAAACTGTCTTGTTCTTTTATTTTTATTACTTTTTCCCCTCTTTCCTTACTTCAAGTTTTGTTTGTTTGCTTGCTTGTTTGTTTTAGTGAAAGAATGTGGGCTTCCTGGAAAACAGTGTTCATAATTACCAAACAGAAAAAAAAAATCAAGGTCATGAAGAATGTAGATGTTAACCAGGCATTGGTGGCACACACCTCTAATCCCAGCACTAGAGAGGCAGAAGGAGGCAGATCTCTATGAGTCTGAAGACAGCCTGGTATACAGAACTAGTTCCAGGGTTCCAGGGCAGACTCCAAAGCAATACAGAGAAACCCTGTCTCAAAAAACAAAAACAAAAAAAAAAAACAAAAAAAAAAGTAGATGTTTTTCAGCTTAGCCACATAGCCCCATAACAGAAACCATTTTCATTCTCCACACATACATGCCCCTTATTTCTGTGAGACAAGTCAGCCCAGGCAGAGAATTTATCATACTGTTTGGGGTTTTGTTGTTGTTGGCGGAGAGAGTGGGGGAGTGGTGGTTTTTGGATACATGTGATATTTTCTATAATAGACATTTAGGGTTTAGTTTTGGAAGAGAAGAACAAGAAGGAAAGTAAACAAAGTCACATATGCAAGTAAATAAATAACTTTCAGAAGTGAAAAACACAATGGTGTGGGGGGAACTGTTTAAAGAAAGTGTTGCATATTAACTTATCAACAAAAAGAAAGGAAGGAAGAAAAACAGAAAGAAAGAAAGAAAGAAAGAAAGAAAGAAAGAAAGAAAGAAAGAAAGAAAGGAAGGAAGGAAGGAAGGAAGGAAGGAAGGAAGGAAGGAAGGAAGCCATTGAGGAAATCTTGATGCACTGAATTCAAAGGACATCTTTGTTTAATGTACTACTGGAAAGAAAGAGGGTTGAGAGGTTTCTATGGACCTAAAATCCAAAGGACATTGTACGCTGTCCCAAAGACTTTGGGGACCCTACACTAGGCAAATAGCTCCATGGGAGAGCCAGGTGGGTTCAGAGAAAGAACAAAAAGTCCAGCTTTGGCCAGTTTCCTAAGGAGAAAGAGAAGCAGAACACGGAGAAGTCAGATCTTTCCAGACTGCTTGGCTGCAGCTCCAGTGGTGACCACATGATCTCAGTAAAGGAACACTTTCTCCTGCCACCTCTTTAGCATGGCTTTGGTGGATCAGCCCTCCTGAGGGGTGGTCTCTTGGCCAGGTGAGTGACAGGCTCAGCAGGACTAACTCTTATGACAGGACACAGTGGTGCGCATGTCTACCCAGGACAAGAAGCAGAGTCTGTTCAGTTGACAAGAGGAATTGGCCTTCAAGGGAGTCCTGATATCTGCAATGGCCTCAAAGGCTACTGTAACATTCCCTGCTCATCGTAGCCCAAAATTATTTACATTATGGGCTAAACCAGAGGAACTAATAAAATGTGTTTCTACCATGAAAATATAGAGGTCCATTTTTAAAGCTTTTCAGCAGACATGCTTAATGTTGGTTACACCCTCACGCACAGCATCCAGGCAGAGAGATTACTTAGGAGAAATGAAATAGCAGCTCAGTCACTTCTGAACTCTGGACTGGAAAAAATCAGAGATGTCTGTTTCAAGGATGATTGGAACTGCTCACCCTTGCCCCTCTGTTTCTGACTCTGCTCTGTCCATTTCTGTCTCCTGTCCTTCTTGGCTTAAGCATCCAGTCCTCTCTCCGCTTTCCCTTAGTGTCAACCGAGACTCCCCGTTATCTTGGACTTTTGTGAAAATGAACAAAATGTGAGGGTTGAAGTCAGCTGGAGGTTTTTGTTTGTCTGTTTGTTTTCCAAAGACAGGATTTGTCTGTGTGGACTGAAACTCTCTTTGTAGACCAGGCTGGCCTCAAACTCACAAAAATACCCCTGCCTCTGACTCTGAGTGCTGGGACCAAAGGCATGTGCCACCACTGCCCAGACAGCAGAAGCTTCTTTAAAATGTAATTTACATTCAGGTAAATATATTCATTGTTGTACATGTCCATGAATTTTTAGAGCATATACAACCATGAAGTCTCCATCATAGTCAAGCTATAGACCCAGGCCCCACCCCAGTACCCCTGTGCCCTTCTGCAGACCTTTCTGCTGTACCCAGCCTGTGGGACCCTTGCTTTTTCTGCTCTTACACACTTGCTTTTTAAGAACTCCATGTAGCCGGATCCCTTGCAGTAATAATGCATTTGAGATTCGTGCACACTGCATTCAACAGCAGTGCATCAGATCCTGAAAACGGTTTTCCTTCTTGGTTGCCTTGCACATTTCCTACGAGAGGAGTTACTTCTTGACTTTGTTGTCATTCTGGTTTTGTAATACATTTGTCTGTTTCAATTCCTGCTTATAATTATAAATTTTGTTTAACTATTACTAGGCAGTATTTTACTTGGTTCAAATATGGTTCCGATGCACTTCTCCAGTCCTCCATATGCATCGCTGTTTTTTGGGAGCATGGGTTATCCCAATTTTTGCTACCAGATCATTTCATAAATATATTCCGCAAAGCCATCTAGTTGTACTAGGCCCCCAGCCAGCCCCAGGGGCCCCAGGTCTGGAAGCTTGTGTTGTTGCCCCTTTTGCTCTATTAGCTGAGGGACATCGGGATCCTTTTTCAGGTACTGCTCCTTCTTCCTTTTCTGTTATGACTTGTAGGCATTGTGTGAGTGCTAACTGTATTCATAGTTCTCAGGGCCCTGCTTCCCTGCCCTCTTCATCAGCCTCCTTGTGTTTTACTACCTGTGAATCTTACTCCGCCATGGTGTGCCTACCCTGCAGTGCATGCTTTGGGTCAGTTATCTTCTGCTCTTTCATGAAGTAAACATTTTTCTTGCCACTCTTATTCTCCACAGGACTGCTTTAATAGCTGCTGTAAGTTCTGTGGTAGCTTCTGCTGCTGCATTGATTCAACAAGTACATACTGCGTATCACGTAACTTCTCTTCCCAACAATGTCTTTGGCCTTGTTTACTCAAGAATCTATAGATAAAGGATTAGTCTATAGAATTAACATTTTGGGAGAGGAATACTCTACATGGGAACTCAGATACAAAACATCAAGGTTAATCTTACTGTGGCATGCCATTCTAATTATACAAGGGTCTGTGTTACTCCTTTGCCATATAATGGCTCTCCATACACTTGGAATCAGATTCAGGTTCATATTAGATGTATTTGTAACAGCACAGATGTAAATTTAAAAATACACACTTTACACGATCATATATGTACTATTTCACAAGCCCATAATGACATCCCCAGAAGAGGTAATACTGCCAGTCTTTTAAAGTCTATTACTAGTTATGTCTCTCCTGGTTGATTTTGGAATTACAGATACATAGATACATATATAGATATATACTCCTTTTTATATTTTTATTCTGTTAATACATAGAATTTCATTTAGTTCATTATAGTTAGAAAGACAAAGATGGATGGATGGATGGATAGATGGATGGATGGATGGATGGATGGATGGATGGACGGACGAACGGATGGAAGGATAGATGGATGGGTGATAGAGAGAAGACAGAGAGACATATAGTAGGGTCAATTGTAGCCATCTCAGCCCCAAACTCACTATTTAGACAAGTCAGGCCTCACCCTCCCGTGTGTTAGAATCACGATCCTCTGCCACTGCACCTGACCCTTTGATTTTGTTTTTCTTTTTGTTAGTATTATGGTTCACTAAGTTCTACACAGGTATATTCTTATACAACTGAATCTATGGGCAGTTGTTGTTGTTTCAACTTCACTTTCACTCTTTCTGTTTCTTGCTGCTTCACTGGCTCCCAGTGACAGGAAGACTCCATCGGAAAAATTCTGTTTCCCTTTTCTTCAGTCTTCTGTGAGCCACGGGCCTCATTTATGAACCAGGACCTTCTGTGAAGGGCGTTTGCAATGCGGGAGTACAGGCCAAATCCACAGACGATTCTGAAATAAATCTGTCTTTTTCCCTAAAATATTCTTGAGGTTGATGTTCTCATATTGTTTTCAGCTAAAAAGCTCAAAGGAAAATATCTCAGACTCATCTCCGCTGAGTCTCCTGCTAAGCTTTACTGCTGCTATGCAGTGATCGCGGTCCTCATTGTAGCTGTCATTGTACTTTCTGTTGCTCTGTCATTGTCAGGTGAGTGACTCGTTCTCCAAAGTCTGCAGCACTCTGACCACATTTACACTGTCAGTTAGACCGATAAACTTATACTGAGAGGGAGGACTCAGTCTAGGAAGGACTCTAGAGAAAGCACACCAGAAACTCCTGTTCTCTGGGAACATAGGATCTAGCCGGAAGATGCAGAGAAGGCACAGCACAGGCTGTGCTGTGCACAGGAAGGTGACATTCAGCAACCTCTAGAGCAGCAGCTTTCAATCTTCCTAATGCTGCGAACCTTTAATACTGTTCCTCGTGTTGTGGCGACACCCACATAGCATCATTTTTGTTGCTACATCATAACTGTAACTCTGCTACTGTTGTGAATTGTAATGTAAATATCTGGTATTTCCAATGGTTTAGACATACGTCCACCTCGAGTATGTGTTCAAGGCAGAGAACAAGGAGAGGGAAACACTCACAGGAGACCACTACAGCTAAGGGGAAGTGAGAGCTGTGACGAGTATAACCATTGGGAAAGGCACAGGAAACCGCACACCCCATGACTCATGCCTTAGTTAATGTCTTCAACCATGGTCTGAGAATACTAAATAGAAAGTTCCAGAATATGTGATTCCCAAGCTTTTAGTTGTAGGCTGTTCCGAATAATGTGATAAAATCTTGAACAATTTTACTGCCATAGCTGAAAACAATGTTTCAGGATATTGTTCTATAAAATCACTTCAACCCCATCAATGAATAGTGCACACATATGTAACAAGACAAAACATTTGACAAAAAGTCTTGGCCAGTGTAACCTAAACTATTCCATAGATCAGAAAAGAGGGTGACAGGGACTCTCACTGCCTGTTGGATTTGTCCTCACAGAAGTCTCTCAGTCTTGGATCTGAGAACTGAGAACAGCTACAAAAAATTCCCCTCCACTAATGGGGGGGGGGTCATTCTGGTATTTAATATTTCTTATCAAGTCGCATGTTTCCTAGAACTCACTAGACCTTTGAAAGAACAATGCATTTGTTCTTACCTGTTAAAGTGAGAAAAAGAAGAATGTCTGTTGTTCATCTAAGCTGTCCTCTGAAACCATTCAGAGCTTTCTACACAAACACACACACACGCACACGCACGCACGCACACACACACACATCCATTCATATATTTACATATATATATATGTATATAATCACTCTACTACAATAGAATCAGACAAAAACGCCACACAGCTCCATTAACACAGCCACTCAAGCAGTTGTCTGGCTCCAGACTATCTCACCTAGCTCTCCCACAGGGTTAAGATAGCCACTCTGAAGCTGTGGGGCTTTGGCTATGGTTTTAGACTTCAAACGTCAGTTAAATGAACTACTGCAGAGTTTACACTGGAAACGTGGTGCTATTCATAACTTTTCTCACAACGTGTGTGCCCATTGTTGCACCCTGTCCTTCCTCACCACCTTGCATCACTCTTCCTTGTTCTTTCTGTGTTACACCATGCCCACACGCACAGCGGTTTACACTGTACATTGTAAGATACAACTGCATATGACATGGTATATGGGTCTCTTTCATTCTGAGTTTGGGTGACCTCACTTAATATACGTTCCCAGTCCACACACTCTGATACAAAACTTTCATTTTTCTTTAAGGCTGAAATATTATTGAATTTTGCATGTGTTCCACATTTTCGTTATGCATTCATGAGTAGATTGGCTTCCAGGTTAGGTCCATTTCTTTCTATTGTAAATAGGGTAGCAATAGCATGGTAGGATGTGTTCTCTCCATATATATCCAGGAATGGCATAGATGGATTGATCATGTGATAGGTACATTTTTTTCATTTCTTTTAGGAACCTCCATATTGTCTGTATACATTTATACTCCCACCAGCAATAAATATGTGTCCCTATTTCTGCACATGGTTCTAACATTTGTTGTCATGTTTCTTCATGACACCCATCCTGACCAGCTTTAACAAGAGCCAGCTTATGTTTATATGTATTTAATGTATGTGAAAGAGTCATAGGAAGACCTTGATCAGAGTTTTGGTATGGAAGACCTATATTGACCATGGCATATGTTGCAGGCTGGCATTTCTCTATAATATAATCCAGGCAAGGGAGGAGTTTGCTTTCTTTTGTCAAGAGAAAAGGAGCATGGATTATGGGAAAGGAAGGTTCCAAATTCTAGCAATCTTTAACAGTCCTAACAGTTTAATGACCTATGATTTTGTGCATACATGTGTCTTTAGTCCCAGCACTCGGGAGGCACAGCCAACAGAATTACTACAAGCTCCAGACAAGTAGAATCCACAGAGTGAGATCCAGGTCAGGCAGGGAACATAGTGAAAATACAAAGATGAAAAATAAAACATTTCCTCCTAACCCCACGGAAAAACTCTGGATTATGGACCCTCACGCTAGGAGGGAGTCTCCTAGGGATCCATAAGAAAAGCTACTGCCCAAGCACACAGCAAACAACTGAGATTTGGATGGCTAACCAAAGACAGAAGACTTGGAAATGTTTATTAAATTTCATGAACTGTCTACATTTTAGGGACAAAGGAACACTCAGCCAATAAGAGCCCTGAATCTGGCTATGGCACCTGCCCAAGAGGCTGGATTGGATATGGAAGTAAATGTTTTTATTATTCTGAAGACATGAGAAACTGGACATTCAGCCATGCCTCCTGCAAGGAACAAGAAGCCCTTCTAGCTCTATTTGACAGCATGGAGGAGCTGGTAAGAAAGGAATCTGGAATTAGTTTGTTGTTTGTTATGCTGAGTGTGAAATCCCTTGAAATAGGGAACTTAAGGCTGAAACAGGACAAAGGATCCTACCCTAGGCACTGGGGACAAGGGAACACATTAGTGTGTGCCATTTACTGGTGTTATTGTGTCTTACTGGAAACCTGAGATATTCCAGAGACATTCAATCATGTGGAGTTCATAGTCAATATATAACCTCAGACATACGAACTACTGAGATACCTGGTGGTCATCTAAGTCTTCATCCATGTGGGCAGGTATTGCATCCTGAAGAAGACAGCTGTTAATAACTGCAAGGACAGGTTTACCAAGGGACTTTCCCAGCCAGGGAGGATGGACGGTCTTCAATGTACTTTGGATTATAGATGAAAAGGCATCCACTGAGAACTGAGGGTGCTGATGACCCCAAAATCTGTGACCCTCTGTTATACCCTGCTGCCTTTCCAAAAGGAGGCTATAGGGTAGAGACCCAAGAGTCTTCTGAAGCAAAGAGACTCAAATATTTGCTTTCTATATATATATTTCATGACAGGATTTCCTGAATAGACACAAGGGAGATTTTGACCACTGGATTGGCCTGCACAGAGAGTCACCACAGCACCTTTGGATGTGGACAAACAACACTGAATACAACAACCTGTAAGTTTGGAAGCCACTTTTCCTTCTGCTTGGTTCATGTGTTGAGTTTGTGTGAGTTATGACTATAAGACAGGAAGCATGACTCATGTGGAGTCATCTGTACTGGGAAGGTAGAGAAATAAACCCTTAGATTGCGGGAGAGCCTCAGAGATAGGGTATGTGCTTATATGCAGAGCCAGTCTCCAGCAAACTCCACATCCTTACAAATTTAAATCCTTTGGATGCTCTCCCAATTACTGGCCATCATTTCCAAAGCTTTCACTTAGTGTGATTGCACTTGAAGTCTTTAGCATGGTGATGGTATCTGGGGTAGATGTGGTCAGCTCCATCACCAATTGAAAACTTTTCTTTGATGAGAAACACCCTTGTGAGATGTAGACAGAATCTAGGATGGGCAGTGGGGGCTCTGAACCCCAGGAAGCTGCTGCAGAACTCCTGGGGTGAGACTTGCATTTCACTGTGTACACAGCTGCACCTATCACAGAAACAGAGACTCCAGGTTCCATTGGGGACCTCCTCTAAAGTCTCATCATCAAAGAGCATCCACACAGCTCCTGGAAGTGAGCATAGCCATTTCAAATGGAGCCATTTCACTGGAATAGTAAAACACAGACCCAGTCAGATCCATCATTTAAAAACCATTCAGAAATTTACTAAGAATTGGATTTTTCCCACTTTCATCCATGTGTAAAATACTTAAACACAGAATTGAAAATCACCCTTTTGAGTCCACCCATGGCAGCAATTCATTTGAACGTGACATCAAGCACCAGACAAATGCCTTCTGCACAGTTTACAGGGTCAACATGAAGGAATGACAAAGGTATAGTGTTCAAACTGAACCCCCAAAATTTAAGGGATGCTAGGTCTACCTAGTACAGGTGATTCCTTATGGGCTCTGTCTTTCCTTGATTCTTATTACAAATAAGCAGTGCAGACTGGCAAAATTTCATTGCTGTATTGAATCAGTGTCAGCCTATGCAGAAATTGTGTTTGTTTGTTTGATGTTTTAGGGTTCCAATCCGAGGAGAAGGACCATATGCCTACCTGAGCAACAATGGGATCAGCAGTGGCAGGGGCTATGTGAATAGGAAGTGGATTTGTAGCAAGCTACAGCTAGCCTTTACAAAAAACAATGGTTTTAAAACCTGCATAAGGGATGTACCACAGCTTGCCTGAGAAAGAGATGCTCTGCGACCTGTTATCTACAGTTGCTACTCCACTCCCGATCTGCTAAAACCATTATCAAAAGCCAATGATAACATGTGTTGACTATAAATATAAAATCTCAGAGGATTATACATAAGGATTCTTGGGAAAACATGGATTCTAAATTAAGTAGATATTTGAGTAAAAACCTAAAGTATAACATATCTGTATTAGTGAGCTCCACTTTTATGACCAGATATGAAAAGCATTTCTTTGTTCCTTGTTTTAAATACAGGGAACCTAAAAATGTGGGGAGATTGAATCCATGGAAATGATTTTTTACAAATTCAATAACCAACCCAAAAGAAGTGATATCTAGACAGTATTAAAGCCAATACTGTCTACTCTGTGATTAATACATCATGAACATTATGAAAATGTTTTTACACTTATTCTTCAATGTTCCTATTTTAATTTCAGTGACCTAAGAGCATGATCAAAGACAATGCCATTTTACTTATTTCAACTTTTTTGAGACTTTCATACATGAATATGGCATTCAAACTTTATTCTTTATTAGGTTCATTTCAAACCAGGCTAGTTTGAATTGAACCTACTAAAAGACTAAGGTGGTTAATTACTGAATCTCTTTAAAAGCATTTGGTGCCTAATTTTGTAATCATTTACATACACTTGAGTTTTAAGAACAAAGTAATTTAATTTTTTGATCATGTGCTATACTGTACTGATGAGTCCTAAAAAGGACGAAATAACAGATCAAAAGCCTGTCTTCAGTCATTTCTGTCTTCCTACTTTACTGATATATGTACTAAGCCTGGTGACTTGAGTTCAACCTGGACCCACTTTGTAGAAGGAGAAAAGCAACCCCAGCAAGTTGTCCTGTGATGCTCTCACAATGTACCTACACACACATATACACAAAAATAAACAAAAAATGTTAAGTTTGTCTTTTATAGAGACTGTGCCTGTTATGTTTGTTTTGTTATTGTGCTGCTGCTGTTATTTGCTTTTTTGTTTGTTTGTTTGGTTTGTTTTGTTTTTGAGACAGGATCTTATTAAGTAGTTCTGGTTGTCCTGGCAGTCACTATATAGACCACACTGGCCATGAACTCACAGAGGTCTGCCTGCCTTTGACTCCTAAGTGCTAGGATTCAAGACATGGCTCACCGTATCTGGCAATGACTATGCCTGTTTTGAGTCTATATTTTTATTATTAGATAAATACAAGCATATCTCATTCAGGAAAATACATTTCTCAATGCTCTGGTCCTACTTCATTTAGCCTTTTTTTTTTCCTTTGTTTCAAATAAACTAACAAAAAAGTTCTATTGTTACTCACTTTTGTATTTCTAGATACTAGCATAGTGTGTCAACACAGAAGTGTTCAAATCATATTCATACGGGAGGTAGGGTCTCAGGACTGTGGTTGTAAGATTTCACTGTTGGGTTGTATTCAGCTACGTTCTTCATTCATAAACCTTTTCTTCAATAAACCTTTCTACAAATGGTTTTATATTAAGCTGTGTGTGGTCATTGTGAGACAAGATATTCACCTAAGATATTGAGGGCAAAGCAGACCAAAGGACAGATATCATCAAACACCAACTTGTTGAACTTAGAGTTTTATTGGGGTTATTTTCAGAAATATGAGTGAGGGATGAGGGCTTTAATACAAGGTCAGAACTGACACTGATGCCATATCACCAAAGTCCACTCCAGCATGAATGACTGGCCGTTCACAAAAGCTGCAACCTTGGAATATAACGAACAGGTTACTGGCACCTCACTGGGTAAGAGAGTGTCTGTCTTAGTTACTTCTCTTTGGCTGTGGAGAGACACTGCGACCAAGGCAACTTACAGAAGAGAGTTTCTTGCAAGCTTGCCTAAAATTTCAGATGTTGGGGAGCATGGTGGCAGGCAGGCATGGGGTTGGAGCAGAGGCTGGGAGCTTCCATGTTGAGACAACAACCAAGACGCAAAAAGGGAGCACTCCCTGGGGATGATGTGGACTTTTGGAACACAAAAGCCACTGACACAGCTACTGAAATGAAGCCACACATCCTCCAACAAGGCCATACCTCCTCTAACAAGGCCGTACCTCCTCTAACAAGGGCGTACCTCCTCTAACAAGGCCGTACCTCCTCTAACAAGGCCGTACCTCCTCTAACAAGGCCGTACCTCCTCTAACAAGGCTGTACCTTCTCTAACAAGGCCGTACCTCTTAACTCTGCCCAGTTTCACCCGTGGTAGATAAAGCATTCACATACATGAGCCCATAGGAGCCATACCCATTCATCTCACTACAGTGTCCTTTCCTGGATATCAGTTGATCTCCGCCTCTTCTAGGCAATGCTGCTGGTCTATGCTTCTTCTGAGAGTGACACCTGGCAGTCACTTACTGCCTAAATATTCATGGGGAGGAGGGACGTCCTGAAGCTGGTCAGTTTGAGGAACTTCCTGAAGCTATTTTGAGTGGTTTAACATTTCATTTTCCTTCAAGGTTGGAATGTTCTCAGAGGAAACTGCAACACTACAAGCTTAATTCACAAAAAGGAATTTGGTCGATACTATGATCCTAGCTGGTATAATCTTCATGTGCAAACTGGCTTCTAAATCACATACCAAGAAAATTATATTCTCCTATTTATAATCTACTACCTTGACAAATTGTGTAGCCCCTATCTCAGGGTTTCTTCATATACAAAATGGGCCAAAGGAGGTAGCATTACAAACTTATCCATGACTGTCTCGCCAGAATCAATAAATCTGCAAAGCCTGGTATAGACAGAAGTTTCTGCCCTGCCTGGTCCCATAGCCATTTAGTCCCAATTAAACACACAGAGGAATCAATTGTAAACTGTTTGGCCAATAGCTCAGGCTTCTTGTTGGCTTGCTGTCTCTTCCTTGTTAACCCGTTTCTTATAATCTGTATATCTCCACGTGGTCTTGGCATAACCAGTGATGCCTATGCCTCTTGCTTCCTGGGCAGCTACATGGCATCTCCCTGACTCCACCTACTATATTTCTCCATCCCTGTGTGGATTTCCTGCCGGCTAATTCCTGCCTGTCCATTGGTTAAACCATTCTAAAGTTGTCTTGGTAAAGGCATATCTTCACAACATACAAAAAGATTATTCCCAACAATGTCTAAACATAATATCAGCTATAGAATATTTTTTATGAGGCCTAGTCCTTTTTATACAATAACTAGAGACTACAGCCATATACAAATTAAAGAGGTTATTTTCCCTTTTATCTCTAAGTGCTAAAATTTAAGCAAGTTTGAGTCCCCTTAACCCCAAAGGGAAACTCATTGATCAACATGTTCATCTGAAATGGACTCCCTTTCTGGGGTGAGCAGAAGTGTGTGTGTGTGTGTGTGTGTGTGTGTGTGTGTGTGTGTGTGTCTTGTATGTCAGTCTGTTGTGATGGTTACATTACATTTGAAGTTTAGACTTAACAATGCTTGAGAAACCAAAAAGCAAAACAGTGCTTCTCACAGGTAAGCCCCTAGTTTATACAGGGTGTATACCCTACTGCAATACATTGTGTATGTAACTTGGATCCCACTCTTATTTATAGAAAAACATGGATATTTTTAATGACAGCCATGTAACTTCACCACCATCTTGATTGAGATAACCATATGATATATACCAACTAAGGAGTAAAAAAGAAACATCCAAAATATTTGGGGTTAAAATAAAATTTTATATGATAACTCTTGTCCTAAAAATAAAAAATAACAGGTAAGTACAAAATCATAAAGAAAAGGTTTATAAGATTTATAAACAACATTGTTTAGTGAGTAAGATATTAAAGCTACATCTGCATACACTTAATATGCAAAAATTTAAAGGTTTTATACATGGGGAAATGTAAGCAATTCTCTCTTTTACCTTTATAATGTTCTTTGATAAAATGCCTGAGCAACCAAAACAAATTTGGAAAACAACACAAAGGGGCTACAATAATTAAAGGAGTGAACACAAGGCTTCAACAACTTGTATTCTTCAAGGTAAAACTAAATCAAGTTTTGTTTACTATGGGTCTCCGCTCTGTTGAAAAAGGAAATTGCATAACTGGTCTTCTGGGTATCAAGTGTATTTTAAATGTCATAAGTTTTTTGATTTTTGTTTTTTTTTTTTAACTTTGGGAGCCCGTTCCACATAGAGGGATACTCTCTCAGCCTAGGCACATGGGGGAGGGCCTAGGCCTTGCTCCAAATCACAGGACAGACTTTGAAGACTCCCCATGGAAGGCCTCCCCCTCCCTGGGGAGCAGAAAGGAAACAGAATTGGGGGGGGGGGGTAGGAAGGGAGGGTGCAGGAACTGGGATTGATTGACATGTAAAACAAGCTCTTTTCAAATTTAAATTTAAAAAAATCAAAAATAAATAAATAAATGTCATAGGTTAAGCGAACATGTTTATCCTTGAAGTCTGTCTTGCCTTGCTTCAAAGACACTGGTTCTGGTTGGTAATGTGTACAAGCCTGTTGCTGACTCTACAGGACTAACTCAGGTAAAACAATGACTACTCTTAGAATAGTCAGAAGCTCAAAATTTACAAATTTCCTGTGGATATGTTCTAAACATAGATTTAAAGATGCTTTTTATTATACTTAAACATGTTTCCACCCAATATATTTTTCCAGGTCTCTGGGAGAAAAAAATGTTTATGTTTTTTACTTAAAATTATCCTTGGGGAGCCTGTACCGTGTGTCTGTCTGGGGTTTGTCCTCAGGCCTCTCAAGTCCCTGGTCTCCCCCCTCCTCCTTAATTCTCAGTTGTCCAGAGTTAACTCAGTGCTCCCATCGGGGACAGTCTCCTGTGGGTGATTGCTTCACCTCTATCCTGAATCTAGAGAATGTTGGGGTAGGGCAGGGCAGGGAGTCAGGAGGAGCCCCAGCTCCTGGCAGAGAAGGTGAGGGTGGGTGGCTAAAATTTTGCTGTGCAGCTGGGTTTGCTGGCCCACAGTGCGGGGTAGGGGGGGGGGGAGGAGACAGCATCCAGTGGCTGTCACACTCCCTGTCCCTAGTGGCATGAGACTAATTGCCTGTACAGCTTGGATCATGAGGCTTGGGGGCTGAGGGGGTGGGGAGAAGGGACTTTCCAGGCAGCTGTGTTCCTGTCTTTAGCTGCAGGCAGTGTCGTTTTCTCTCACGCGACTTTTTGTGATACCCACTAACTTGGGGGAAAGTGTGGCCTAGGCTGGGGGGGGGGGTCCCTCTGGGCAGTCATGTGGCTCTGAACTGCTATGGACTAGCTTCCAAGAGAGAACGGCTACAAGCTTTGAGAGGCTGCACCGGCTTCTCCCAGCCTGAAGCTACCGAGTGGACAGTACCCCTACACACACTGACCCCCTACAAGGCCAGCGCCAGAGTGAGGAGAGGTGGCCATCTGCTATCTTTCCCTTGGCCCTGCCCATTTGAATGTAGAGGTTGCGTAGTACTTTTCCCTCACTGTGGGTCCGGGTGAAGATGTGCCTCAACCACTGGTGTGGACAATTGAAATGCCACAGTTGCCCATTTGGGCTGTGTGGTTATTATCTGGTAAGATGGTGATCTCGTTGCCAAGTTCCTCCCACCTCCTGCCCACTGGGGAAGGAGCTCAGTATCAGTGTCAGTATAGGTTTTTGCTTTAAGTGGAGAGCCACACCTGGCGGCCAGGTCTCAGCACAAGACTGCTTCCTTAGCACAGAACGAGCTTCGAGCTTTGTTCAGACTACATGAATGTATTGGGAGGGGTGGAGAGGGGCCCAGGCCTTCCCCTGGGACGTGTGCTGGGGAGAGGCAGCAGAGTGTGCAGAGTGTGGTTTTATTTTTGTACTGATGGATAAGAGACTGTATAGCCTTTAATCCCAGCACTCAGGAGACAGAGTCAAGCAGATCTCTAGAGTTAGAGGCAAGACTTATCTATATAATGACACCCTGTTTAAACATATGCAGTGTGCCCAGAGCTCACAATCTCTTCAGTTATAAAATATAAAATCAAACCCAGATAATAAACTCCCAACTTGAAATAATATTTCAAATAGCAGTTATACAGTATTATTTTTGTGAAATAATGATTTTGATCCAGAAGGTTCAGGAAATAACTCCATACATGTGATTCCTATACTCAATAGCTGTAGATCTAAGGCTTTGTACATCAGAGACTGCCTCCCTAAGTACCAGTTGATGTGGGACAAAAGGAGCCTGTCTCAGAGTGGGATTGCTGTTATCCTTAGATCCCAACTCCAAAGACTAGGAGACAGGCTCAAGAGTTCCTAGGTGTAACTAGGTATTGCTACTCCTGGATACCAGAGTTTTCAGACACAGCAAGACCTCTATGTACCAGCACAAAGTGGGACTCTGAGTCCTTAATCTACACTGAAACTAAACAAAAAGCATTTGAGGCTTTAAAAACAGCTCTTATTTCAACTTCAGATGTCTTCAAAACCTAGACAGGTTTTAACCTATACTTTGGGACCATGGAAATGCCTTGGTGCATACCTGTCCAAACAATTGGATCCTGAAGCCTTGGGATGCCCCACCTGTCTAAGACTTATGGCAACTACTGCTAGTCTAATGAGACCAAAACAAGCAAGTTAACTCTGGGTCAGGATCTTATACTCACATCACTGCTGATGAGGCCCTCCTCTGAGTAACACTGGCTGTCTAATGCCTGTGTGACCCAGTACCAGGCCCTACTCCTAAACCCACCTCAAGGTGCTCATCCATGATTGTCCCCAGATGAAAGATTAAACCAGGTATGTGGGAGCTTCCCAAACCAGAGAGCATAACTGACTGATCTGACTCAGGCTCTCAGATGGGGAAAGGGATAGCAAAGCAACCCTGACAGTTGCTTTGCTTTTGCTATGGTGTGTGTCCATGATCTATAGAGACAGAGAGCTTTTAACTACTGGGGGAAAGGACATTAAAAACAAAGAGAAAATCTTGGCCCTCCCAGGAATTTTGGCTTCCTCTGTGAAGCACTATACCTTCTAAGTCAAAAAGTAACAGGGCCACTGGCCTGGCTGCCTAACAAATGGCCCTAAGACCAGTGGGGTTGATTGATAGTCAGAGGACATATCCTGAACTCACGGTACAACTAAAAAAAAGCAGAGGATGCAAAAGGAAAAAAAAAAACCTGGACAGCTCAATCCCACAGGTTGGTAGACAACAGATGTGGCCCATATATCCTTTTTAAACTATTGTTTCGGTGGGAGCAAACCAGCGTTTGGCTGGGAGCAGCCGCTGTGGAGGTCTCTGTCCAGTATCGCTTCCACCTGCCCACAAGCATATGGAATATCTTTGCAAACCTCTTTAAGGGCCTCTTTGGCGAAAAAGGAAATGTGCATTCTCATGGTGGGCCTGGATGCTGCAGGGAGGACAATTCTACACAAACTGAAGCTGGGTGAAGCTGTAGCCGTGAGTCCCACCATTGGTTTCAATGTGGAGACAGTTGAGTACAAGAATTTCAGCTGCACCGTGAGGGATGTGGGTGGCCAGGACAAGATAAGGCCGCTGTGGCGCCATTACTGCCAGAACACCCAAGACTTGATCTTCGTAGTGGACAATAGTGACAGAGAGCGTGTGAATCAGGCCGGTGAAGAGCTCATGAGGATGCTAGCCAGGTTTTTATTTAATGTAAATAGTTTCTGTTTCCACTGAGGCAGTCCCTGATACTCCTACACAGTATTACCTGGCTTTGTTATTGTAAAAAAAAAAAAAGAATCAACTCACTGTCGGTGCTAAGAAGGGGTTTGGGTGCAGACACACCTTTAATCGGGCCACACCTTCTTCTGGAAACCTATGCAAAGACATGAAAACTTTTGCTTTTAGGCTACCTGCTCTAGCCTTGCTAGTGATTCCATGTATTCACTGGCATTGGAGCCTACTTCTTTATGATCCCAGTGTCTACCAAAGACAAGCTGACACACAGCCTTATGGACTTTCCATTCATAGTCAGCCATTGCAGGGTTAGTTGAACCATAGCCTGTAAGTCATTCTAATAAATCCTGTGTGTGTGTGTGTGTGTGTGTGTGTGTGTGTGTGTGTGTGTGTGTAAAGAGAGATTTTTTTCTATAAGTTCTACTACTCTAGAGAACCCTGATAATATGGACGTGACAAGGGCCCTTAACCACTGAGCCATGTTTTGTTTTGCCAGAACAAGAACTTGGAGGAGAAGAGACCCTCCTGTCTCACAGCTCTGCAGGCTCACAAGCCCAGGACCAATGCACCAGCATCTGCCCAGGTTCTGGTGGTACATCCCTGCAGGGTGGGAGGCATCACATGGACAGAGCTCAGTTTATCTAGCATTACTGTCAGTATCATATTAGTCAATTTGGAGGTGTCAATAAAAACAAACTCTTCCCTTCCCAGCTCTGAGCCTCTGGTGTCAGAGTAAAGACTTTAATCGAGGAGGTTCTACAGCCCAGATGTGAGATGGCTTGGAGTGCAGGGTAGAAATGAGGGCTTTATAAGCAATTTTCTGCAGCTGTTTGCAAATGACTCAGTCATGGAGGTCAGCAAAGGCCACAGTACACCCTGCTGGCCTGGGCTTTCTCCTGTAGAGCACCTGTCTCAGAAGGGTAAATCTGTGTCGGTGTACATTTACAGAATAAAGACTTTGGACCTGAGCATCTGTAAGAGTCACAGAGGTTTTATAGTGCATACTTTGTATTGCTGTGCTGGGAGGGCCGACAGCCTTGACAGTTCAATGCAGACATCTGGTGTGGAAGGTAAAGTAATAGAGATGAGCTTTGCAATCAGGAGTCAGGACACAGGATTTCAGACACGTTTCAGTTTTTTTTGGCAGATCCAGCGGTTGTCTGCAGAGCAGAAGTCAGAAAACACTTCTGTCTGTGAGATGACACCACAGCTGTTGTCTTCATTAGTGCCCATGATTTGTACTCTAAAGAGCAAAGAAGAGCTGCACCTAGCGTTTAGGATTTTCTTACAATCATCGCCATCAGCCATTATTCTTCTTTAGACTTTAAAGGATGCTGTAGATTACACAGTGTGATGAAGAGATGGCTGAGAGGTGAAGAGTGTTTACTGCTCTTGCAGAGGACCCAGATTCAAGGTCCAGGAAACACATGGAAGCTCACAACCACCTGAAACTCCAGTTCCAAAGAATCTGATGCCCCCTTCTGACCTTTATGAGCCCATGCAATACAGCATACACATACATACACTCAGGTATACAAAAATAAAACAAAAGAAAGATTTTAATTTTATATAAGTGTAGAAAGTATAAAACTGAAAAAAGAAAGAAAAAAAACTTTGCACTCCAGATAGGAATTTTAAGATATTTTATCTCCAACCCTACGAAGTTAATCTTGTCCTTTAAAAGTCTATTGGAAATAAGTACAAACACACATGCGCACACACACATACACAATTATAAAGGATCGATGTCTACCTTGTACATGAAAATTTTCAAACAATCTGGAAACTGTCTTTTCAGCCTATTCTGACCCTCTCAAGAGTTTATAAACTTAATTAAAACTACAAAATTAAATTTTCAATGACATGGATGTGAACTGAATATTCAAACTAGCTCATTTAATACTTACCGATCAGGATTTAAAGTAGAGCCATTTACCCACTTCCAAATCTTCTCCACTGGTACATAGTTTAGTCCAATAAAAAACTGATGTCCTTTTCTCTTTGAGAAAGCATGAATGAATCTCTATAATTAAAACATAGTGGGAGACTTAATCTTCAATTGTTTATTCCTGACTTATTTGCTTCTACTAACTTTCTAAAACACCGTTGCTGCTATTTGAAGTCCATGATACCTCCTCACCAGCATAATTCTCTCTCCTTCGTGAAAGTCATCCCTCTGTATTTGTACTTTTATTAAATCATGGATCCAATTAGTCTCTCAGACTATGGGGAGTTTAAAACCCCAGTCTCCACTTCCTCAGCACAGACAAGTGGTTACAGTCCAGAGATGCCAGCACAGCTTTTACAAAGGGTTATGTTCTACATGGTATGTACTCACTCACATATGGATTGTGACACAGAGCAAAGGATCACCAGCCTGCAATTCATACCACCAGAAAAGCTAGGATACAAGGAGGACCCTAAGAGATTCATACAAGGTCTCCCACAGAAGGGGAAAGGGACAAGATCTCCTGAGCATATTGGGGGGGGGGTGAGTGGAGAGGGAGTTGGGAGAAAGAGAAGGGGAGAAGAGGAGGGGAGAGGAGAACATGAGGGAAAAGGAGGATTGAATCGGAGGATGAATAGATGAGAGCAAGAAAATAGATACCATGATAGAGAGAGCCATTACAGAAAACTAACTCTAGAGAAATGTCCAGAGAGGCTATCTTAAATGCCCTTCCCTGATAATGAGATTGATAGCCAGCTTATATGCCATCCTAGAGCCTTCATCTAGGAGCTGATGGAAACAGAAGCAGACACCCACAGCTAAACACTGAGCTGAACTCCTGGAATGCAGTTGCAGAGAAAAAGGAGTGATAAGCAAAAAGGTCAAGACCTGGCTACAGAAACCCACAGAGACAGCTGACCTGAACAAGGGGGAGCTCATGGGCACCCAGACTAATAGCTGGGAAACTATCATAGGACTGACTCAGACCCCCTGAAAATGGGTCTTAATTAAAAGGCCTGGGCAGTGTAACGGACCTCTGGCAGTGGAACCAGGATGTATCCCTGGTGCACAAAAGGACTTTGGGAAAACATTCCACATGGAGAGAAAATCCCTTAACCTAGAGACAGGAGGCAGGGCCATGTCCCTACTCCAAATGACTTGACAGATTTTGATGATCCCTCCTGGAAGGCATCACCCTCCCTGTGTGGGTAGGGAATGGGAGGGGAGGGGATTGGGGGCATGAGAGGATGGGAGGATGGGAAGGTGATGGAACCGGGATTGATATGTAAAATAAGAAAAATAATAAAAGAATAATAGTGAGGAAATAAAAAGGTTATGCTCTAACAGAAATTTACCAGTTCTCCTTCATCTTCAATGATCAGCAAAGTGGCCTCTTTCTCAGAGCAGTCAGCCAGACCCTCGGCCCAAGGTCCGGAAGTTTGAGAAATAAATAAGCATTTCTTCCGGTATGAATGCCACTCTCTCGGGCACTTGAGCATGGCTGATCCCCCTAGAGTAAGAAAGAAGATTATTTATTTCTGCCCTGTTCCTGCTGCACCACAAGCAACTCCACACAGCAGCTTCCTTAGAGCATGCTGGAACAAGGTTAATGCTGCCATGTGTCAGTAATCCTAATTAATAACACATATTCATTTTATGTGCTGTTTCTATTAATTCAGACAAAGTAAAATGTTTGGCATGTTCATAAAAATGACCAAATATTCAACTTCTTAACTTGATATTTGCCTATTAAGGGTCAAGTACACCAGCAGCCTGAAGCAGCATGGCCAGGTGCCTAAGATCATAGACTTCAAGGTCACACAGCTTCAGTGAAGTTCCCAGCACCAAGCTCGTAAACTGCGTGACTCTTCACGAGTTTTTAACATGTTATGGCTGTTTTCTCAGTCAAACTGAGGTGACGTAGTGCCTTCATGGAGGGATGTTCTGAACATTGGCTGAGGTAACTCACAGTACTTATCAAGAATCCCCTCTTATTCTCAGGAAATTCAAGCCACACAATTACCTGCTGGTTCAGTCCTGTTCTCTTGAGTAGCCACACTGAATTTTGCTATTGGTGGGTTTTGCACTAAGAATCGCACTAGTAAATAAGAAAACACACAAAGAGAATCAAATGCTGAAACGAATGGTAGAACATGTATTTTATTTCTCTGTTGCGGGATTTTTGATCACTCTGTGAACCCCAAGATTGTGTTATTAAGATAGGTCAAGAGGCAGAGCAAGCAACCAGTTGACTGGAAGTAACCATAGAGAGTGAGGGAAAGTCAGGAGTTTGGAGAGAGAGAGGCACAGGAAGTAGAAGGGAGGGACATCTGGGTAGAGGAAATTTTGTTTCAGATGGTTTCTTTGGTCTGAGAGCACACAAACAGCGACACAGAGACTTATTGTTAATTATGAAAGCTTGGGCTTAGCTCAGGCTTGGTCCTAACAAGTTCTTAGAACTTAAATTAGCCCATACCTTTTAATCTATGTTCTTTTACGTGGTTCAATTACCTTTAGTCTACATTGCCCATCCTGCTTCCTCTGCATCTGACTGGTGACTCTGCCTTTCTTCTTCCCTGACGCCCCTCTGTCCCCAGAAGTCCTGCCTAACTACTGATCATTCAGCTCTTTATTAAACCAATAATAATGGCAAAACGTTTTCATACAATGTAAAGGAATATTCCAAAACAAAATATGGGACTAGGAAGATTGAGTCAGGGAATAAATAGACTAGAAGAGAGAGAGAGATTATGATAGAGGGAGCCATTGTAGGTTTGAAGAGAAAACTGACTCTAGAGAAATGTCCAGAGACCTACAACGATGACCCCAACTAACAATCTGAGCAACAGTGGAAGGGCTACCTTAAATGCCTTTCCCTGATAATGAGATCGATAACTAATTTATATGCCATCATACAGCCCTCATCGAGTAGCTGATAGAAACAAAAGCAGACACCACAGCTAAACACTGAGTTGAACTCCTGGAATCCAGTTGCAGAGAGGGAGAAGTGATAAGCAAAAAGGTCAAGACCAGGCTACAGAAACCCACAGAGACAGCTGACCTGAACAAGGGGGAGATTATGGATCCCCAGACTGATAGCTGGGAAACCAGCATTGGGTGGACTCAGACCCCCCCTGAACATGGGTCTCAGTTAGAAGGCCTGGGCAGTCTAAGGGACCTCTGACAGTTGAACCAGGATGTATCCCTGGTGCACGAATGGACTTTGGGAGCACATTCCCCATGGAGGGACACTCTCTTAGCCTAGAGATAGGAGGGAGGGCCTAGGCCTTACTCCAAATGACTTGACAGATTTTGATGATCCCTCCTGGAAGGCATCACCCTCCCTGTGGAGTGGGGGTGGAAATGGGATGGGAGAGGGGATGGGGGCATGGGAGGGAAGGAGGGAGAGGGAACTGGGATTGATATGTATAATAAGAAAAAATAACTCAAAACAAAAAAAGAAAGAAAGAGAAGGAAGGTGAGCCAGCTGGTTTCTCTGCCCCTCTGAGCTAGCAGGTTTCACCCCAGCATCTGGCTCCTGAGTCTTTGATGGGAGATGTCATTATGTATATTTGTTTCTCATACTGGTTAATGGATAAAGCACTGTTGGCCAATAGGAAAGGAAGATAGGAGGGACTAGGAGACAAGGAGGAAAGAGGAAGTAGGAAGGAGGAGCCAAGATGGAGAGTCTGGAGAAGGCAGAACTGCCAGCCACCTCTAGTTGGTAAGACCACGTGAAATACATAGATCAACAAAAATGGGTTAATACTTAAGACAGAGCTAGCCGATAAGAAACTAGTACCTAGCCAACAGAATTATATCTAATACAGAGTCTCTGTGTGTTAATTGGGGCTGCCGCGGCAGCAGGACAGACCAGCGGCGGCAGGAGGAAAAACCATACTCCTTACAAGTCTTTATTGGTAAAATTTAAAAAAATAGAGATTTAGTCAAAAATAGCATTTGCCACTGTACATGGAGGTGGCTGAGACAGTGGCAGAGGTGGGCAGTGGGACATGAAGGCTCCCTAGGGCCTCAACAGCAAGGTGATGACTGGAGGTGTAGTCAGCAGCTGAGGCATTGGTAAATTCAGGCACAGTCACTGTAGATAAACAATATTTCTCACTCCAGGAAATCAAGTCATTTAAAACCTGAATATATGGACTGAGGATAAAAATATCAACAAACTGGATTAAGGGACAAGTGTGGAGGCAGAACATATGAACGGAAAAGCAGGGAACACACGGATTCACACAATTCTGAGGTTGCGTAAGATCTGGTTGACAAGTCAGTTAGTCTGTGGGCGCTGCTGACACTCTTAGATGGCTCAGTCACACCCGAGCTTGCTCACCTTCAGCCACACCCATCCCAAGAGAAGGTTTAGAAGACATGTAATAAGGTAAATATGGAGACTTTTAGTCATAATTTTTGTGACATTCTCTACAGTTCTAGGTGCACATATGACACACTAAGGTGTGTATTATAAGAAGCATTGTTATAAGTAATGTTTCTCAAGAAATTAAGAAGTATGGGAGAATTATTAAGTTTCCATAGTGGACAAGGGATGCTGTCCTATAACATTCAATGTCTTTGACATTCCCCTAGGCTCAAGGTGTCCAAAGGCTCTGAAGAAGACTAATGCTTATGTGGGGAAATTATGAAGCAAAAACAATAGCCTCACTTACCTAAGACACTGAGTCCAATCAGGCTCAAGAAAAGAAGGATCAGCCCAGCACAGCTGAGTTTCAGAGCCAACTTATGCCAGTGTGGGCACTGACAGGCATCTAGGAAGTACAAAGAATACATTTGTTAAATCCACTTGAGAACATATGAGACAAAAGTCAACGGTGGATTTGTCACCTCATAAGACCTCCCTTAACAACAAGGACTCTTTCTAATACTCCCAGTGGACTGACTGAAACTGGAGATAGTGTTTTTCTCTGTGTGCACTGTTTTACAAACAGGTACATACACATACACACACAAAGCACTATTTAATAAACAGTAGCTTTCTTCCTTCTTTTCTTCTTTCTTTCTATCTTTCTTTTTCTTTCTTTCCTTCCTTCCTTCCCTCTTGCTTTCTTTCTTTCTTCTTGCCTAAAAGCATTTTTGTTTTGTTGTTTTTGTTTGGGTTTGGTTTGGTTTATTTTAACGAAATATAAATTATTTTAGTGACTTTGGAAATCACTGTTTCTTATCCCTAAGATGTAAGAAGCTGCAGAGATACCCTGTCCTGGAAGATGGGCTCATTGGGACTGTTCATGAGATTAGATCGAAGAGAACAGTCATTAATCATTGAAGAGGCCACATGAACATTAGTTTTATAAAAGTCTCTGCTTTAGGGTCCACAGAATGCTATGTCATCCTCACTGTTCAAGACATGTCAATGGCTTTTCCCTCAAGACAATGTGGGCCTATGGAATGTCTTCCAAATGCCTTTCCATCTGTCATCATTCATCCTGACTTGATCTCCACGGCTCACCAGGCATGCAAGTTCACATAGAGCATGACAGGTATATTCCCCCTTTGCATTTGCAGGTCTAGCTTCCCAGAGGACCCATCTCTCAGATACTCAGTCCAGTCTCCCAACAACATCCAGAACATGACTCCAGCATCATGCCTGCCATGATCACTCCGCTTGATGTGAAGCCATCTCTAAACAAAAACCTTAATTTCCATTTAAATGATTTTTCTTGCTGGCATTCAATATCACACACTCTCTGAGGCAGGTGTTCATATCTCACTGACTACACACAGACAGTCATATAAACTCTACAAGGAAAAGGATAGTTCCTTTTGTTTACAGATGCAACCTCGTCATCTAGAGCAGTACTTCCTTCACACATAGTAGGTACTTATCTCTGAGTAAATGCATGCACATTTTATTCTTCCTCCTATCAAAGCAAACCTTTGGTCACTTGGCTACAAAGCAGGTCACTTCCCATGTCACTTTTTCTGTACTGGGGGAGCTAACCACTATGCTGTGAATTACCTGCAGTTGGTTGTTTAGCTAAGTTGGTCAAGGTTGTTTAATTTTTTCACTACTGTGTTTGTCCTCTGGTTTTTTTCTACTGCCTTTGTTCTTTAGGTTTCTGTTCAAGCTGATGGTATGTAAGTCTCTAGATTTGGAATCATGAATAGTAGTGTTGAGGAAATCTCATTGACATTCTTAGCCTTTGCTTTCTACACCCATTTCAGCAAGGCCCTTCCCATCATTAACCATACCTCTTCCTATCATTGCACAAATAGAATACTCCCAGCAGTGTCGAAACCTCTTTCCCCTCACCCTCATGTGAAGACAACAATGAGCTGATCTGATGACTCTAAGACATTTTCCTGATTGTAACTTTTATAATTTAATAGTTCCTAACAAAAGTCCTGAAATGTTGATAATCACATCATTTTCAAAATATCGTAATAATGTCAAATTGAAAATGTTACAATGTCATTGGTTTTAGTAAGGTCACAGAATACAAAACTATATCATGACAATTTGACACATTTCTGCCTCAGTTTCTGGTTCCTTTTTCATAACCCCCCCCCCTTGTCATGTTATCCTTTGAGTATTAATCAGCCTTACCCATCATCCTTTTGAGTGTTACTGAGTCTTGCACATTTCTTTCACGCCAATTACTAACCTCTCTGTCAGAGGTGAGGGTTGATTTACCCAGTGTTGACTGCTAGGGGTGCAGCTGCCCTAAGGCTGAGTTAAATTGTTTGTGTTCTGTACCAGTGTCTGGAATGGGCAAGCTCTTACCACAAGTCTATAGTGTCTCTACCTCAGTCTTCTGTTCACATAGGGAAAATACTATTTCTTCAGGGTCTTGCAACTATAACTGAATAGAAGAAGCTCTGTCCGTGTGTCATGAAGGCTACTTGAATAAAATGGTGATGTGTAAGGTTTTTTTCTCTCTGAAGTTGCAGTTACCTGAAGGCAAGATAACCTTCACTAGTCAACACTAATAGAACCACTGCTTCAGAACAATAGGTTCTTTTTTATTAATTAATTTGTGTGTGTGTGTGTGTGTTTAAGAGAGAGAGAGTATTGTGATGAATGTGTGAGTGAGCATATGCCTGTAGGTATGTGTGAATAAGTGTGTGTGTATGGATTACTATCTGTGTGTAACTATAGGTGTCTACCTCTTTGAGAATAATTGCAGGTGTGTGTGTGTGTGTGTGTGTGTGTGTGTGTGTGTGTGTGTATGTGTATCTCTACATGTGGCTACAGGTGTGTGCATGCCACACTAGGTGTAGATATCAGAGAACAGCTCTTAGGAGGTGGTTGTCAGGTTTTTAAAGCAAGTGATCTCACCTGAGGAGTCATCCCACCATCCCAAAGCAATCATTTAAAACTGAAATATTCCAGAATGGCTAAGACAAAAAAAAATAGCTTATGTTGGAGAGGATGTGGAGTCAGGAGAATATTCCTCCACTCCTGATAGTAGTGCAAACTTGTATAGTTGCTTTGGAAATCAGTATTCACTTTCTCAGAAAATGGGGAATCAATCTACCTCAAGACACAGCAATACCACTCTTGGGCAAATACCCAAAGGATGCACACTCATACTACAAGGATGCTTGATTAACAATAATCATAGCAACTTTATTTGTAGTAGCCAGAACCTGGAAACAACCTAGATGCCCCTCAACCAAAGAATGGATTAAGAAAATGTGGTACATTTACACAGTGGAGTACTACTTGGCTGTAAAAAAATGATGACCTCATGAAATTGCAGGCAAACGATGGAACTATAAAAAACCATCCTGAATGAAGTAACCCAGACTCATAATGACAAAAACAGTATCTATTCACTCATAAATGGATATTAGATGTAAAGCAAAAGATAACCAGACTATAATCCACAGAGAAGGAAGACCCTAAGAGGGACACATGGATCACCCTGGGAAGGAAAATTAGATGAGATCCACTGAATAAACTTAGGGTGTGGGTGTTAAGGGGAAGGAGGATGAGAACGTGAGTGAGTGCAATGGTTGTGAGGGATGCAGTGGAAGAGCAATGAAAGAGACATCTTAATAGAGAGAGCAACTATGGTGATAGGGAGAATCCTGGTACTAGGGTAACTCCCAAGAATACACAGGGATGACCCCAGCTAAGACTCTTAGCAATAGTGGAAAGGATTCCCAAACTGACCAAGCCCTGTAATCAGATTGGTGACTACCCCACCTATCATCATAGTAATTGATGGAACCAGAAACAGAGATTCACAACCAAGCATCAGGCTGAGCTCCGGGAATCCAGTTGATGAGAGGGAGGAGGACATACATGAGCAAGGGAGACCAAGATTACCAAGGGGAAATCTACAGACCACTCTGGAGAACTGTGGGAGAACTGAAGAATTTAAACTGAATAGGAGAAGCTCTGTTTATGTTTCAACCAAGCTCGTGGAAACTCATGAACTCTAGACCTACAGCAGTGGAGACTCCAGGGGACTGAACTAGGCCCTCCATATGTGGGAGACACTTGTGAAGCTTGAACTATCTGAGGGGCCCCTGGCAGTAGGACTGCATTACAAACCTGGTACATGAGCTAGCTTGTCGGAGCTGATTCCCTATGGTGGGATGGCATGCTCAGCCTTAAGGCATGGGAGAGGGGCCTGGCCCTGCCCCAACCTGTTGTGCCAGAATTTGTTGACTCCTCATGGGAGCCCTTACTCATGAGGAGGAGTGGACTGAGGCAATGGGGGGGGGGGGCGGGAGGAGGGGTGAGAGGGAGAAATGTGGTTGGAATGTAAAATTAAATTTTAAATTATTTTTAAAAACTGAAATATATTTTTTTGGTTGTGAGCCTAGCCTTTAATGGTTGAGCCATCTCTCCAGCCCTCAAATTTAAATTTAAAAATAAAAAAAGATAAAAACAAAACTGAAATATAATGAAAATCTTAACTCTAGATGATACTCAAATGCCAAAAAAGAGAAATAAAGTCACTTACTTGAGGGAAGAGATGAGGGTGATACAGGCTGATACTCTGGGGTCCTAGATGTCTTTAAACTGCCATAGACTCTTGATGAGTCCATTGTAGACACAAGATGTAAACTAAAAACAGTGACAAGCTCTGAGAGGCGAAAGGAAATCCGGTATGAACACTCTGTTCTCTTCGTCCACAACCACCCACACTTGTAATTAAGGGTTTTCCCACAGGTACTGAACACGGTGTCCATTATGACCACACAGTTTCCACGTTCTTTCAAACAGAAGATGTAATATGTGATCAATCTATTATGAACTTTTTGTTATTCTTCCTTTAATCATCTGTTTTAAGTTACTTTTCATAGCACAGGTAAACAAAGCAATCAATATTGAATTAAAAATCTGAGGAATTCTCCCCACCACACTACACTCCCAGGAAATACTCTGTGTCATGTTGTGAAAATAAAAATGTGTGAAAGTCCTTGGTGCTATTTGACATGAATTGAAACTACAAAATCCTCCAGAAACACCCATGCTGTGAAGGAAGCTGTGAAACATAGAAATGAAAACATGAATGTGGATCTTAAAAGAATAATAATTAACAAAAAGCATGATTGATACGACAGGAACAATAATGATGAGGGAGCTTCCAGCATTGTCCTGAAACTCCATGCAGGTACAGCAATGTTCACCTGAGTTGAGGATTTCCTCTCTCAGAGCTACAGAGGCTGGAGCACTTAGGTTTGTGGGATGTGCTAACTCCTCCAAGGAGTTTCAGGCCTTGCGCCTTAGAGCAACTACTACAAATTCCAAGTCAGGCATCCTCATGTCACAAGTGAAAAAGAAGAAGAAAGTCACTGTCTGTAGTCACAGTGGAATTGTATCAGGCACTCACAGCTCCATGACGGTGGCATCATTCTGCTGGATGTGAGTTCCAGAAGACAAGAGGTGCACACTCACAGTGTGGGGAGCATGCTCGTGCCCCGAGACCACCGATGATGATGAAGTGAGGGGAAGCATGTGTTAGGGTCTCACACTGCACTGAAGATGCAGTGAAGCCTCCTCAGTTGTCACTCTTTGATGGCAACCATTTTATTCAATGCCAATTCTGCCACATTTTTCAACCAAACCTAAGATCATGACTAGTGTATAAGAGAAACCCTATCTCAAACCCCCCAAAGAAAGAAAGGAAGAAAGAAAGAAAGAAAGAAAGAAAGAAAGAAAGAAAGAAAGAAAGAAAGAAGTTGTAGTGTAGGAAATTTGTTAATGTTAAAGTTCCTGCCACATAAACTCCTTCTTTTTCAACATACTGTAGCTTAACACGGGTAATGTGTGAATAGGCATTCCAAGTATGAAGTTTGCTCAGTAGCACACTTAAGTAGGCAATCCTTCAGCCAATAAAAGCTGAGGGGATAAATTAGAAATGTCAATAGACTGAACAGAAGTCTGATGCACTAAGCAGAAGATTCAAACGGTGCTGTGAGAACACTGAAAATTAGCTGTTTGTGGCTACTGGGAATTTGCAATAGCTCTGCTAAGAATAACAGATTTGAGGTGAGATTTCTAGTAAAGATGATTACAAACGCTTTTATGCCGCAAAGTGTGAACTAAGTGGAAAAAAAAACAACCAGAAGCTAGCATCACTTGTCCACATAAGTGTGAAGCAAACTGACCACTTGTCAGTTACAGGATATCAGAAGAAACGCCAACTACTGTATAGTTATACAGCCATCATTGCATAGATAAAAATGAAACCCTCCTGAGAATGCACTCCTAGAGAATTTAGCTGTGCTAATGATGTCCTTCGATCACCTGATTGCCAGAATGATATTTTAGTATATTATTAATATGTATCTGAATTCAGAATTACCTTACCCTTGTCACAATAAAACAGATGGAAAGAGACAGACAGACAGAATTGTGGAAGAGATTACAACATGGCATAACATATAAATAATGTGATACTAAATCAAAGTAAGTAAAATGGAGAGTGGTTGTAAGTAACCCAGGGGGTTAGAGTGTGGGAATAGAGGAATTAATACTGAGTGTCTCAAGAAGAAATAAAGACAAGTTTCAAGCTAGAAGCCTCTTTTCATATCAAGTCCTTCCAGGTTAATAATGGGAGTTAAAAGTACAGACAGGTGTGCCTCGTTCATAGACTTCTTGGTATGGGATCAACAGGTTTCAGATGTAACTTTGGAGGTTTGGGTTCAGAGTTTTAGCATTGATAAATGCAACTTTGATAAACTGACAAAGCACTGGGTACAATTTTCAGGCGTTCTTAAATTTATGTGGATTTTACTGGTCCTGGAGTTTAGGAGTACGTGGATGCTTCTTCAGCATTACTGTATTTCATCTAGACACGTATGACAATACTCTGCTGAAAGTTCCTCTCTGAATTCCTCTCTGAAACAAGTTAACATGAAAGAGGATATGGAGCCTTGCAGGCACATTCAAACTCCCACCTCCTCCACTTGCCCAACCTCTTTTGGTCAGTGAATTTAGACTTAAAGATGTGTTTCATCTGGCCAATACCAGGCTCTATGAAAAATATTCATGCCTTTTAATCCAAAGCCAAAGCCTTTTGCTATGACACCAAGGTAAAAGTCTGTTATACAGCTGTTATACAGGCACCTGCATGTTCCTGGAAAAGGAAGCCACAGGGGGTCAAGCCCAACTCACAGGGTCCCTCCAGATACACCATTCCTTGCACCAGCCTGGTCCTCCAAATACATCAGACCCTGCACCAGCTTTGAGGACACCAACTGGACAAAAACTGGCAGGTTGACTTTACCCACATGCCCACTCATAAAAAACTCTGTTATCTCCTAACTCTTGTTGACACTTTTACAGATGGACGAATTTCCTACCGCCAGCGAAACAGCAGGTGTGATGGCTCAGGTGCTCCAGAAGAACACGTCATCCCTCAATTTGGCATGCCAACCCCACCAGCCCCTGGGACATCAGTGCTGGTAACACCTCTCCAGACTCAAGGGCATCTGCTCTTTCATCGGGCTCATTCACCCTTGCCTCTTCTGTATAACCAAAGCACATCTCTGTTCCATTTTTTCCATGGCTAGCCCCATTCACAGAGCCAGGGTTAATGATCTATCTTTTCTCCTAGCAACATACTTTCTCTGCCTCCTCAAGAAGCAGTTTCCTGAGGTCTCCAAGATGGAAGCTTACCAAATGCTTCTCCAGCCATACCCCCCCCCCACTGAGCATGAGCTCAACTGATTCCCAACTCCCTCTCCCCACATCATCTTTTCCCGGCATGAAGTAGCCAGACTTGAATCAGCATCCACATATACCCAAAAGGTTGGGATGTTGGGAATCTCCCCTGGAGCTGCCCTCTCCAAACTCTATCCAAAGAAAGCCCGCCAAGCAGCAACTACACCCCCAGAGGGTACTTAAGGTCTGTCCCACAGACTTCCCCTCATGGTTCCCCTTGTGTCTTCTCTTTCCTGGGACCACCCAGGAATGCTTTGCTCAGATTTGGCCTGATCTGATTTATTGCATTGGTGGAGAAACCCAATACCAGGTTACAGGAACTTTTCACCTACCCCACTGTGTGCTTGGTCTGTCGTGTTCTTTCAATACTCCATGTTCCCTTTGTGCATCACAGCTTGGTTAGCTTCCTGCTGACTTCATCCCATGTATGTTAGCTTTCTTCTGACTCTGTCCCCTGGAAATAGTGCAAAAGATGCTGTATTTCTTGTCAGGGTCCACAAGAATGTCTTTGATTCATCTTGACTTAAGGTCACAGAGTTCAAAACTATCCTTTCTCTTCCAAGTTATAGTAATAAGACCTAAAGGTGTAAGGCATGGCTACTGTAAGATATTTGGTCTTAGGCATCATGGATGTCTTATCTAAATAACAAGAGACTTGGTCTAAGGTGTGGTTACTTTTAAAACCATCAAGGCCAGATAATAAGAGATTTAGTCTAAGTATGGTTACTAAATATTTGGAGAATTAAGGAAGAAAGTCTGTTTGTCCATTGTATCATGATAAAGAAGCCTTCCCATTTTTGGTTGGGGTATATAAGAATGTTGAAGAATAAACTTGGTGTGTTCAGTTTTCACTAGGTTGCTCTCCTGACTCGAACCTGTGTTTCTGTCTTTTCCGTAGCATCCTTACCTGTCATTTCTCAAACCACACTCCCCCTCTCAGGAACTAACAGAGCAAGTCAGCTGGGTCTGACTGAAGCCCCACAAAGATGGGTTACTGCAGACCATAAGCCACCGTAATTCAAGACATGTGACTGGAAGATCAAGACAACATTTAGAAGAAGACATGCCAGGGGATTGGGAATTAAAACCCATGAGACATCACCCCCTACCCATCGGATGACTACACTAAGAAAGAAGTTTCCCCACTAAGAAAATGAAGAACTATTAAGTGTGAGTGAGAATGTGAGGTAAATTGAAGCTATTATTCATTCAGTGGATAAAAGCAAAATAGCTCCACCACTGTGGAAAACTGTGGTGAACACTCAAAAAGAAAAAAAGAGCAAAGAAAGAGAAAAGGAAGAAAAGATAGTTTGCCATGGTGGGACTCGCAGATGGTCAAATGTTGAGGATAAGTAACTGCTCAGCTTCATAAAAGACATCTATGTCGCCTCCTTCAAGACCCAGAGAATAGTGTGGAATAGGGGTAGAGGGACTGACTGTAGGAGCTGAAGGGTGAGGAGGAGTGGGATGGGGTGCTTTCTTCTGGGCATGGCATGGCCATTGCAATCATGAACACATAAGCTTGCAAGGGTACCTGGGGGCAGGGGTGAAGAGAAGGAAGGAAGAGAGTGGAAATAAGGGAGGAAGGGAAGGAGGGAGGAAAGAGGACAAGCTGAGAAGAACAAAGAGTCCGTGGGAATAGAAGGATATAGGAAAAGGGAGTTAATGTGAATGGGATCACAGTGCCTTTTATGCAAGCACGCAGACATTTGAGCTGGCTAATTTTATATCAACTCAACACCAGCAAAAGTCTGAGAGGAGGGACTTCAATCAGAAAAATGCATCTATAAGATGGCCCTATAGGCAAGCCTTTAGGGTATTTTCTTTAAGAGTAATTGATGGGGGAGACTCAGGGCATTGTGGGTGATGTCGCGCCTGGGAAGGTGGTCCTGGGTTCTATCAGGCTAAGCAAACCATGAGAAACAAATGAATAACTATGACTCCTCCATGACTTCTGCCACAGCTCCAGCCTCCAGGTTGCTGCCCTCTTTGAGTTCCTGTCCTGACTTCCTTTGATGATGAATAGTGATATGGAAGTGTAAGACAAATAAACCCTCTACTCCCCAAGCTGCTTTGGCCATGGTGTTACACTACAGTAATAGTAGCCCTAAATAAGACAATATTATCAAATATAAAAACTATAACATTTTAAAAAGAAAGTGACTAAGTTATGACTCACAAATGGCTTAGTACTTTGCATAGGGTTAAATCACTTCAAGATCATTTTTGCCATCTTATTGAGTCCTGCTGTGTAGGGACAGACATTCATCCCTCTGGCCAGGAAGGCAATATCTGTGCTTTTATATTGTAGTTCCACACCACTGTACAAGGTAGTACTGCTTGCAAAAGCAAAAATGTGGGGGGAGTCCAAGTTTCAACAGGAGGTGGTTGGATAAATTTCATATCTAAGAACTGGAGAGATGGCGCAGTGATTCGCAGCACAGGCTGCTCTTCACGCCATCTGCAACCCCAAGTGCAGGGGTCTGGTGTCCTCTTCTGGCCCCCATGGGCACCAAACACCCACGTGGTGCACATGTAGGCAAAATTCTCATTTTTAAATAAGTTTTATGTGTGTGGGTGTCTTTTGCATCCCCCTTCATTCCCTGCCTTCCAGACCGTCTCTCCCTTCCTCTCTTCTTTCCTTTCATCCTTCCCTTATTCCTTCCGTCTACCAAAGAGCACCTAACCACCTCTATGCCTTCTTATCTTTATATCCTTTTCTTTAATGCAATGGTTTCAGCTCTGTTTTTTCTTTTTCTTTATTGGCGGTGTTCTACTTAAAAATCCATTGTCAGAAACCAACCCTAGCCTTGGTGGAAACCCCATCGTTTCTGTCATTGCATAGAATGTTGTGCCCTCTCCTGAGAGTTTTAAGTACCCATTTTTCAGTATGGAAAGCATACCTCTTCCCTAAAGGGGGTGAGAGATAGTTTATTCTAGAGCCAAACACGGCCATGATCCAATAGAGTGACAGTTTCATGAAGTTTTTATAGTAATAGAATAGGAATGCCATAAATCCAGACACATTTCAAATATGGTGGAAACATCAGATGGGCAGGTTACAGCAACATGGGAAAAGCTTTGCTATAGGTCTCACATAGCATTCTTTACATTTTGGTTGGTGGCAGCTAGTCCTCTGTTAACTCTTTCCAGACATGTTTCAGCTGTCAGCTGCAGGTGTGTTAAGTCAGACAGGGAGGTACAGCAGTGAGTGGATATCACTTTAAGGATACATTGTAACTGGCTCTGGACCTGCAATAACACTGCCTCTCTGTAACCACTGAACTTCCAATCAGGCAATCCTGGTTTGTAGAAGGTTCAAAGTGGGGTGCAATTTGTATTGCATAGTATTTAGTTAAGTTCTTTATGGGAAGTGATGTCTTCACCAATACATGTGTTTAAGACCTGTACAGGCATAAGAACATAGCTCACTCACTGATTCTCCAGAAAGGATACACATGAGACTTTTATTTATAGCCACTGAGGTGACTGTGACAGAATCTGAATCATGTCTGGTGTTTCCACTGGCCTCAACTCACTCGCTCCTTGTACAGACAATGAGGAATTTCTCCAGAATGTGGGGATGCCCTGGATTTCTCAGACTTACTTGTCATTTCCAGCAAGTTTGCTGTGTTAAAGTTCATCTTCCTTCCCTGTTGTCTGTTCTTCAGGAATATCAACCTTACACTCACAAGGTCTCTTAATTCTTTCAACAATTACCCTTTCATCGCTCTAGTTGGCTGGCAGGATCAACTTCTCAGTCACCGTCTCCAGTGTAGTCCTCTCTTCCTGTCTGTCTTTATTGTCTTTCGTGTCTCTGCTCACCGCTGACGGCTCCTTTATTTCCCTCCACCATGGTGTTTATTATCCTAATTCAGGCTGCTATGGGTGTTAATTAATTGAAACTGCCTCCTAGTTATTGGAGCATGAAGAGCTTTCCATATGAGTTTATTTTACTTATCCTAAAATGCTTGTTCTAATGTAAATTCTTCATCAACTTTCAGATTTGTATTTCCCACATTCTGATGCAGTTTGTGGTAAAGGAATATCAGAGCTACATCTATACAAAGTCCCTTAGCAAGTTATTCTTCCCCGCCCCCATCCCGCCCACCCCCAAAGCTGAGGACAGAACCCAGGGCCTTGAGCTTCCTGGGCAAGCACTCTACCACTGAGCTAAATCCCCAACCAGCAAGTTACTCTTGTAATTATATGTTATGTGCATTGTATGTGGAAATGAAAGCCACCTGTCTGGGGTTTTTCCCTCCATCTATATAGGCAAGAAGCATTTCCATTTCCATCTGCAGACATGAGCCTCAGCAGCTGTCTGGGAATCAGCAGCAACTGGTCCCCTCAAGTGTTCAGTCCTGGTGCAGATCTCAACGATCATGACCCTCGTCCCTCAAGAGTTCAGATCCCAGGACCCTGGACCCTTAGCCCTTGGCAGCTCTCAGCCCAAGGTATGTGACCTTTGTCCATGAAGACTTGGTAGTTCTTTGGGACTTTCCTGCCAACTAGGATCTGTGGATCCTCTTCACTCAGCCCTCATAGTCCTTTATCCTTGTTGAGGCTCAGCTCTGCACTATTTGTCCTCTTTCCTTTGTCCTTTCCCATTTCTCCCTCCTGCCCCAGATGCTAGCAAACTGATCAGCAGCTTCTCCTTCAGCTGTCAATCATCAGCTGCCTTGCTGTGTTTACAGCATGGCCTGACTACAGCCTAGCTGTCCCTGCCTTGACGCTCTGCGGCCTGTGCTGCTGTGGTCTCTACTTTCAGCTGTCCCTGGTGCTTCTTCCATAGTGTTTGTTACCAGCTCAGCCTGAAGAGCAGGCAAGAAAAGGCCACTGCAGGGAAGCCTTTTTTGAGGACTGAAGTTGCAACACCTGGGGAGTCGGCCCTAGGGAGCATTCAGCAGATTTGATGAGTCAGAGCAACATTCCTGATTAGCTTGAGAAAAGACCTTTGCACCAGCGATGGGTTTCTGACCAGTCTCGGCCTTGACTAACCCAGTCACAGGCTTTGAGGCTTATGTCTTGAACCAATCACAGGCTGGACTCTTAGCATTAGTTGTAGAGGTGGTTTTGCTAGATTGGCAGGATACATATTTCCCCTCTGCCCTAGGTGAAAAATAGTTGTGGTGGTAAACACCTATGGGATTTGTTGAATGAGGCAGAGGCAGGAGGATCAGAAGTTCACAGACAGCTGCTAATCACACAGGTTAAGAATAAGACCTCTACCACAATTTAAAACCAAATTTGAAGCAACCTTTAGTTAAACACTGGCCAGATGGATAGTCTCTGGCTAGATGCATCTCTGGTTCCCAAGAAAAATGGCCCCAAATCAAGGTTTTCCATCAGGTCCAATCAGGGGCAAGCGTACATCCTGACATACCTCCAGCCTGCATCCAATCAGGGGGCAGATGTGCATCCTGATGTATTTCCTGCCTGTGAGCCTCCC